TGTGTGTGTGTGTGTGTGTGTGTGTGTGTGTGTGTGTGCGCGCGTAAGTTTGGGGGAGTGGGGGGGTGCAAGACTGGTCTGGTGATTTCACCACCAGACCCGGCAGAGATAAGAGGAGAAAGCCGAAAAGCACGAAACTTTTTGCACACCACGAAACTTTGAAGCCTAGCAGTGAGCAGCATCAGGTCCCATAAACCCTCTCAGCCTTAATAAAAATACATCTTCGTAAAAAGTACTAGACCTGTTAGCTGTAGGATGCAATGGAGTCTCAGAAAAACAAATGGCTTCGTTATCCTAATCCATGAATGTTTACAGCCAACTATATGCTGCAGTATTGCTGTATTTATTAAAAAGAGAAAGAGAAAATCACACACTTGTTTCATTTCGCGCTCCTCCTTTCATTTCCCTCTCTATGTCTCCATCTCCCTGGAGTCTAAAACCTGCTGTTCACATCCACTTCACATTCTGATAAATTATGGGCCAACAGCCTTTGTTGCACACCTTTTTCTGCTGCTTCTTTGTCGCTCCTTTTAAACTTTTACAGAGAAAAGCTTCCATCCATATTGTGGTATTTTGAGTACTGGTTGCAGCCAGAACTCCCCTTCTCTCCCCCAGCCTCCTCTTCCTCTAAGAAAAAAAACCCCTCATCAGCTGTTCTGGGGGCTCTAGGGGCTCTGGAGGCGGCCTCCTGTCTTTGTCTCGGCGTACAGGCTAGCTGGCTAAGCTAGTCGGCCCTTGCATCACTTTCTGGGCAACTTTAGACTAGTCCACTCCTGCCTGCTCTGCGGCTGCAAAAATCAGACCGTAACCGGCGGGGCTGAGGGGGAAGGGGGGCACACTGAGGAGACCCAGACTGAAGGAGCTGCAATGGGTATGCACAGTAGCCAGAGCGGTGCGTGAGTTCTTGGATGGAAACGATAAATAACTTTATAGCAGCAGGAGCGGTAGTAGCCTGGTGGTAGTAGTAGTAGTGATGTAGGCTTGTGCGGGGAGGTCGGGGATCCTTTGCGTTTGATTTATGTGTTTGGGTGAAGTTGTCAGGAGCAGAAGCAGAAGGAGAACGGCTCTGAGATTTTATTGCAGCACTTTAATAATAATAGCCAACAACATGGAATACGCTTTTCATCCTGTGATCCACTTATATAATTATACAGTTCCGCTTTACGCAGTGTTTACGGCCCCGCGCAGCAGCAGATGGATGTGTGTTTATCTGTGGACAGAGCTAGATGTGATCTCTTGCTGTGGGTCCTCAGCCCGGCAGTAAGACTGTCCACAGGACTGTCCAGGGTGAGTGTTTTCTCACTCAGTGATGCTTGAGTTATTTATGGGCCGCGTGGATCAAACAGCTGTTTGCCTTATGGGGCCTGTTCTCATTTTGGTTCGCTCCTCTTTCTCTCTGTCTCTTTCTGTTTTTTTCTCCCCCCCTATTTTTTGCTTCTCTTAAGTCCCCGTTTGGTGCTTAACAGAATTTATGACTTTGGGAAGTTGTTTTTTTGTGTGAGTTTTTTTCGGATGTGTTCATTGTTTATGAAGTTTATTTGAAGTTTTTAAACGAGACCCTGCATTAAATTCTAATGATCATTTTTAATAGCAAGAATCAGAATTTTGATGCAATCGGGGCATGCCTTTCGATTTCGATTGCAGTTTTTAGATTTCATATATATATATATTTATATATATATAATTGTGTTAATCCGCGTGTGTGCTAACTGGAGCATTATTTCTGATGGGTAATTATGATTTACGCATACAGTTTAGCTATTTATGTATTTATTATTGCACAAATCCTTCTAACCTAAGCAAAGTCCATGTTTATATATTCTAGGCCATTGCTGCAAATGAACAATTTCTAATGCATTCTATATATTCCATAACTCTATTCCCTACATAACTCATTTTGGTACGCTGACGGGATAAGCAAGATTATTATTGAATATGAAATCATGCGTGTTTTTGTTTGTTTGTTGTATTTATTTATTTAATTATTTTGAGGGAAAGAACACAAATGTGTAATTGTGGTAACCAGACTCAATAACCTCTCACACCCTCTAGCACAAAGGTCACTTTTAGAAAGGTGTTAAGCACAGCATTGCCTCGTTCTTTGTTGTTGTTTTTTTGTTTTGTTTGTTTTTTTGTGAATTATTTAGGGTTTGAAGTCAAGCGGTTGCTGCTGACCTAACCATTCGATTCGAGTACAAGAGGTGACCCGCATCTGTATCTGATTTTACCGAGATGTGTTTGATTGCATATGTCTTCTTTCTCTTTCCTACCCTTTTCCCATCCCCTCCGCATGCCCCTTTTCCCGCAATATACGTCAGTTCTTAGGAGCTTTCTGGAAGCCGTTTTCCTCCATTAAAACTTCAGGGGAAAATAGGAAATATTCCGGTAAGTTCGGACTTTTTTTGGCATTATTTGTCATGATGCAGCCTGCATTAGAACGAAGTCTGAAGTTTGTGCATGGGTGCTGTGTACACGCTAATAGAATTATAAGATGAGAAGACAGTGACGATTTTGCAACCTGGAAGGTGCATGACGGGTAGTTTTTCCTTTATTTTTAGACAATTAGGACGCTGCATATGTTGAAAAAAACAATATCCTGTTCATATTATATTGATGTGTAGAATGTATACTATTTCTACAGGAACTGATTTGTCTATTCATAGTAGAAGTATTCTCTCTATAATTTAATTTATATCGTTTAAGCATAAATGCAGTTACATATATATGGAAAATATTTATGAAGTTGAAAGTGATTGTAATGTTGAAATTCTACGGGTGTGCGCGCGTGTACGTGTGTGAGTGATGTAATATCGTGTAATGACACGTGCTTATGTAATATAATCCTGAGGTGTGAAAGGAAGTGTATGATGGCCGCGGGTTATAGGCAGAAGCATGGAGGGTCAGTTCATTATTTGATAGACAGTTATTAAAACTGCATGTTGTAACTGCGGTAATGGCATTAATGCTACCACTGTTCATAGCCTATTAATACAGCTATATTTACATAACACAGCAATTAAAGTGACAGCGGCTGAATTAAATAGTTCACAGTTGGAGTCCTGTAAAAATCATTCTGCACTTGTGCACGATATTTTAACATTGGCATTTTTCAAATCGTTTGAAAAACAGAATCAAAAGGAATTCCTGTGTCATCCTCAGTGGCCTACATATCTATAGTCCCAAAGGAGAAAGAAAGTGGAAAAGGGAAAGAAGATTTCCATGGCGCAGGAAGGCACCGCGTTTTAGTTGTGAAACCCAATATCCGTGACTCAATCCGAAACATGCAGAGTCGATGCGCGTCTTCCATCCGAGAAAAACAGCCGTCCTCCACAAGCACTGGCGTGCTTTTGCAAGTCAGTGCATAGGTGTAATCCGTTCTGCTTATTTCTCCACATGCACGTCTCTCCCACACATGGAAAAAAAAAGAAAGACAAAAAAGTAGCTGATTAGCTGTTTGGTTAATGTGTAATGAGGTTGGTTAGCAGATCCTTCAGTCCACACAAAGGCTGGTTTAAAGGAAAAGTTGCAGATGGACACATTTCAGGCTCCCACCTTCCACCTACACCGAGCTCATCCTCTCATTTCTGCTGCCCACAGCGAATGCTATCTGTTTTAAAGTCGGGCTGTTTACACACACACACACACACTGCTGGGTGCTAGAGAACTCATAAATCTTACGTAGCCATAAACGACAGGAGTAGCGTCCTGAATAATAAAAATAGAGGGAGCGGGGGAGAGTTAGAGAAGAGTGTGTGTGTGTGTGTGTGTGTGTGTGTGTGTGTGTGTGTGTGTGTGTGTGTGT